GTTTTCGATAATTTTTGACTCGAACAGACTTATATTACGGGTGGTCCAGAAACCTATATGCCAATTTTGATGATAAATAATTTCTTGATTATTCATTGAGCATAAAATACAGTATTCTACGAGGATTTATTGATTCGAGATTTATCGCATCTCATAAGACTATAGTCGACTCTTTTGTCCCGTTTCATGTACCACGAAATATCTGATTTCGAATGAAACTCATCAAGCGTGGATACAAGGGGGGAATTATGGGGGCTGAAGTCCCCCTCTTAAACAATAAGTAATACCATATCAGACGTAGGTACTTAAATATTTAAAAAATTAGATGTAAAAAACACTTCGTACAAATCGAGATACGCAACAAATTATGGCAGTAACACACTTTAGCCGATATCACGAAGGCAATTAGTGTGTTGATTTTTCGTTATTTTGTTCGGCGGGATGTCTGGAGTCAAAAGTACATAAATATACGAATAATATAGTGGATGCGTAATCAGTGGTGTAGTATTATAGAAGGTATATAAGTGTACAAGGCGTGTACCCACTTTCAATTTCTCAACATAAGTGTGCACTCAAAAAAAAAGTACACTTTCGTGTGCCTAAATGCGTGTAATCGTTACTCAAATTCTTTTAAAAAAAATTTAATTCAAGAATTACAAAAAAAAAAAAATTCAAAAATAATTAGAATATTAAGTATAGAATGAAATTTTATAACATAATCATAATACATAATAATTTATTGCATGTGAACGTGTTACTTATCTTATTTGTAGATTGTTTATATGAATTGGGTATTAATATTGTCATTTTCATAATTCAGTGCCTTGTTTGTGTTCTATATTAGTTCTACTAGAAACACATTGTAAACTAGTATTTTATTATTAGCGATTGTTATATAACATAGATATTAATAATTATTATAATATTTTTAATTATAATATTAATTTTCCCTCGATATTCAACTAATTCAAGTATTCGCACTCTACTGTGACCTGCAAGTTTTAACGACAGAATGGACAGATACTTAATTAAAACACCTAAGGTAATATTTTATTATTGTTATAATTAAATAAGTCATAAGTTTTATTTGCTATCGTCCATCAAATAATTAATTATTATCTTGATTGTTTAATTATTTAAATTACGTGAAGACGTTTACATTATTTATGTAATTGACATATTATTAAAATAATATATATTTATGTAGATGTAAATGGTGTTCACATTTAAAATTTAATTGTAAAAACGTAATTCAATTTAATAAAATTTATAAACAAAAGAATATATATTTCTTTAGGTGTTAAAAATATAACGTGATAAGACACAACTTGATGTGATATACACGGACTTCGAGAAAGTATTCGATAAAGTAAACCACTCAATTTTAATCTCCAAAATAAAATCATATGGTATTAATGATCCATTTTTATCATGGCTAAATTTTTTTCTTATAAATCGTTCTCGAATCGTGAAATATAAAAATTACTTATTTGATTCGATAAATGTAATATCGGGTGTCCCTCAAGGTCAATGGTGGCCAAACTACGGTCCGCGGGCCAACTCCGGCCCGCCATCATTTAATATCTGGCCCACGAAAGTCTTCTATATTACAGCACTTATTTGTATAACTGTAATATATTGCATTTACGTAAAAAAAAAATTTAGAATGCATTTTTTTATGGCCCGCGATAAAAAAAAAGTTGTTTTTTATGGCCCGAGGAAAAAAGAGATTGGCCACCACTGCTCAAGGTGATCACATGTCACCACTTTTATTCTCTCTCTTCATTAATGACTTAGCTACACATTTTAGGAACTCTAACTGTTTGTTATTAGCAGATGATACTAAAATTTACAAAAATATTAAATGTTTAAATTATGTTAAACAGCTTCAAGAAGGTTTAAATAATTTATTTGTATGGTGTAATGACAATGATATGACTTTAAATATTGATAAATGTGCAACTGTTTCATTTTTTTTAAAAAAAAAACCCATTACGTATTAACTACTGCTGCTACTACTGTATTAACAACTTATACTTGTCACGTAAAAACATTATTAAAGACTTAGATGTTAATTTTGATTCTAAACTTTCTTTTAAAAATCATGTTGATCAGTTAAAAAACAAATCATTTATGAAACTAGGTTTAATAAAACGTATGTGTACAGATTTTAATAATGCTTCAGCTTTAAAAACTTTATATTATTCTCTTGTTCGATCTAATTTTGAATATGCATCTTTAGTTTGGCATACATATAGTATTCTACAAAATAAATGTTTAGCATAAATTCAAAATAATTTTTTAAGATATTTATGCTATAAATGTGGTCTTCAAAGAACCTCTCATTCTGGATATGACGATTTAAACCACTATTTTGAAATAATATCATTAAACAATAGGTTTCGTTTACTAGACTTACTAAATTACTTCATAATCACATTAATTGTCCTGAAATCCTTGAACGTTTAAATTTTAAAATAAATTCTTTTAATTAAATAAATCTATCTTTTATTCTTTAAATTCTTCTAATACATACATAATGTATTCACCTGCTAATAAACTAATGTCAGCTGGTAATTTCTTATGTAATATTAATCTTTTTCACATATCAATCACCGAATTAACGGCATCTCTATATTTATTGTAACTAAGAATTATTTGTAACCTATATTTAATTATTATATTATGCTCTTGTATTTTATTTCTTCTTACATGAAAAATGTGTCATTAATTATTAATCGTATTTTATTTGTTATATACTTACCTGTATATACTTATATTTAATTTAGATTATTTAAAGTTTAATTTAGGTTTAGATTATTAAAATACTGTTATATTGTAAAAAAAAAAAAATAATTGTAATTGGAATTTTATTTCCGTAATAAAGAATAATAATAATAATAAATTATAAATATATAGAAATATATACATAATAAATATATCTAAATATATGCAAAATTATTTTTCCGACATCTCCCCCATGGATGTGGAACATTAAAGTCAATATCCAACTACTAGAACTTGACAAAAAAACTTTCCCAACCTCAACCATAAGAAACAACTTCTCAGGAATAATCGAAGAAAAATACCCTCACCATATAAAAATCTTCATAGACGCCTCAAAATCTCTCAATGGAACTGGTTTCGCCTCTGGAGAGAATAATAAATCCTCAATGTTAAATAACTTTCCCGAAACTAGCATCTCATATGCAGTGACTCTAGAATCCAAAAAAATACTCATTATTATTACTCTCTTAGTGCACTCCTTGCTATTGAAAACACATACCCAAAAATTGAAATCATTTAATCCATTCAATAAAAATGATCAAATTCTAAAAAAAAAAAATTGAATTCCTATGGGTACCTTCACACACCGACATAATTGGCAATGAAATAGCTGATAGAGCTGCCAACGAAGCAGTAGTATCACCTAGCTCAATGAATAAAAACAAAATATCATTTCAAGACGCACTCATAAAAATCAATATTTTAGTTAAAAGCCACTGGCAAGACATAACACACATTATTTTCCAAAAACGTTAAACATAATGTAACCCCATAGTTTTAAGATTAACACTTTGGAATTCTGAGTATTATCACAGGCTAATGACCACAGCAGTTGAAGCCTTATACCCAATAAAATAAAATATGTATCATATAAATATTGAACAAATAAATAATGATATTATAATAATTTAAGACAACATAAGGATGAAAATGTAGCTAAATGTAGCTATATTATAATATTAATAATTATTTATTTTTCTGAAAAAAAGTTAGTACAAATTAAATTTTCTTTTCGTGATATTTACTTATTAATTATTAATTTTTAATAAAATATATACTTATAAATAAATTATAAATTTTATATATTTTATGTAATATTAAATTTTGAGATGGATTATTATACATAAAGTATATATATATAAGTATATATATGAAAATTTGAATCTTTTTTTATTCTTCCAAAAGAGGTAGAAGTTTTTGTAAATTTTGGTAAAATGTATATTTTACTTTTTTAAAACATCTAATGAAATATTTTTCGAACACAAATTACAAATAAAAAAGTTTCTTTAAACTTGAATTTTAAATATATTTTAAATAAAATTTACATATGGATAATATTAATATTTATAATTTAATGACGATCTATATTAAAAATTCATAGGTACCTAATATACCAATGACGGCTCTTGAGTTTCACATAGGTGGTGCACAAATAATTAAAGATAGGTAAAGATACCTATGTGGTTGGTTAAAAAAATATTAATTTTATTATAGTTATGGGTACATATAACGTCTTTAAGTTTTATTTTTATTTTCTGAAAAAATTTATTTGAAAAATTTGAAAACTACCTGAATTAAATATTCTAGTTGGTGTAGTTGCATATTTTATTTTTTATTTTTATTCAATACCCACAATAATTTGTAACAGAAAGTTTCATACCAAAATCTACTTTATTTCATTATTTGTTTTGCTTATTATTATATTTATTAATGTTATATAATCATGATAATTATATTGCTATCAAAGAAATAATTTGATTTTTATATAAAAAACAGATTCGTAAGATTCTGTTTATAGCTTTAAAAAGTTTATTGTACAGCTAATATACCCGTAAACCTGCGTATCACAAATTATGTAATGAGTATACGCATCAACCAAAAAATGGAGAAGTTGTTATACGCCGTATATTCGCGTATACGCTTCACTACACCACTGCTCGTTCGGTTACGTCACTGTCCGCGGTAGACGATCGTAGTTCGGGACCAGCGGTGCGATTGCACAGAGACAGTTGACGTTCTACGGACCGTAGACCTCATGGGCCATATTTATGGGTGTTTAAAAAATTTAGAATAATAGAAGATAACTGTACTATGTTGTATTAGATTTTAGATCAGATTATTAGATATTATAGATCGGTGTGTTCCACGAGGTTCATATAAATATGTATTATTTATGTACGGTTCGTTATACAGATGATTGGAATGGCTGGATGTAATGGGTGATTCGCATATGAAAAGTCTGGCATTGGAGAGAGAGGAGTAGAAATATATTTAGAAAAGAAGAATGTCCGTTATACATCGTTGTCGGCCGAGAATCATGTTCGTGCGTCTAGCCGTCCTCCGCGAAGCGGTCACTGTTCGCGGAGGTCCACGGCGACCGTAGTAGTGGCTTCGGTCCGGGCATGCGACGGCAGTCGCGCACGCACAGCAACACGAAACGATACCATTCGGCGAACACCAACCGCGTGTGCACGTTGACCAGTGCGCCGCGGGCGTCCGCGATCCTCGGACAGGCCTCGCGCAGCAGCACCACGACCGTCTCGACCGAGCACTCGAACACCGTGGTTGACGGCCTCGGCGGCCCGAAGGGCGTCACGTGGCCGTCCAACGACCCGAGCACCACGTCTAGCACGGCTGGCAACACGCTGTCCAACGTCGAATGGGGCCCGTCCGTGCCGACGAACCTCGGCCCGTACAACCGTATCAGCCGACGCGCGGTGGGCAGCGACTGCTCGGTCGCCGTCATCGTCCGGTACAGGTCATACATGCTAGCCATCGTCCGCCGGTCGTTCGTCCAAGATTCGCCGTCATCACCGAGCCCGGCTGCGTTCGCTGATATCCCGGCGTCGCGCATGCGCAACAACATTACATAAAACATTTATGATGCGTGACGTCCACGCGGGCCCGACCGTTACGCGGGGCCCGGGTGTGTATCGATTGTGTCCCGAAGACGTCCACGGGAAAATTGGACTGATCCCGAGTCGCGGCCCGGTCGATAATTGTCATGGGTATCGGCAAGGCCGGATTTAGGGGGGGGGTCTAGTCGGGACGGCAGCCCCGGGGCCCTCTCGAGTATAGATTATAGACATAAATTATATATACCTATTAATTTTATAATTTTATTATGCAATTGACAATTTGTGAAATAGTTAAAAAAAATGTATTGCTCTGCGAGCGTAGCTAGCAGTTTTGTAAAGCATGTTTTGTCAAAAGGGCACATAAAATTTCAGCCCTGAAACCTAATAGGTGCTTAATCTGGCTTTGGGTATCAGATCTGTGTGACATTATTCGTTCCTCAATAGACGGTAACGACAGCCAGCAGTCGCGCAACGTTGTATGATTTTTATTATTTCCAGATGGTTTTCAACAGTGGCATTATAGTTCCCTTGTCGGTCATGTTTATGCGTAATACTACTCTGTGTTCGAGTTATGTTTGATTTTGGTTTATAAGCGTGTTACTAACCTTACCGTGACTTTATTCTTGGTGGTTATCACGAAAGTCATTATGGTTTTTATACCGTGGTATTTCACGGCGACGCTACCAAAACCGACCACCGTAAAGGGTGAACTATCAAATCTGCTCTTATCTAACCTATCCAAATCAATGTTTATCCCTTTCCCTTTACAAAATGATGATCGCCCGCCACTCAACTGATTTTCAGTGTTGATTGGTAAAATATAACGACAGTATAATGTTGACACAAAGTATTTTTGCTAACCTAATCTAACCTAACCTTCTAGCGCCACTTTTCTAATTTTGCTCTATCAAAAAGGCTCGTTAAGTTTATGTATAAACATACTTGTAGTACTGATGCTACATACAGTCCTAATTCTGTATGTACATGGTAAGAGAAATGGAGTTTAGAATGTATAATTTTATATTAAAAACGATTTGTATGTTTATACTCGGGCCACGACGATTCGGAAGAAATTTTCACCGCGTGACGCAACTAGTAACCACCCTGTGCAGGCGTGCAATCGAATAAAATCGATGTTTATTACGTTTGCTGCATGGGCGAGATTGCGATTTGCGCGTATTTACTTTGAGAGAGGCGTCACGAAAGGGGTAGGGGGAGCAAATAATTATCAGCGCGCGTGGTACCGTTCAACAGCCGTCCGCATCTGCTCGTGTCGATGTACAGTATTCTGGCATACGGCCGATTGACGGAACCTTTGTCGGACTGTAAACAATGAGACACGAACATGCACACCCATCGATTGTAAACCGTCAACTACATAAGACATGGCGGGAGAATATCGCGAGAAATACGGACGACCGATCATCTGAGCGAGCTCCGCGAGACCGTTTGTACGTGTATGCGAGGCTCGTTTGAAGTGAGCACACGAGCGAACACATGCAGTGCACATGACTTAGGTGCACCGACGGCGAAGGGACGACATGATTGTAAAGCGACTGCCGGTCACGGGCGCGGAACACCGGGATCGTCTTGACGTGGATTATTATTCCGTGTGCGGACGCTCGCAAGTTAGGTGACTTCGCTACGCCTACACGGTTCATTAGTTTGATTCGATTTGGCGTTTTTTTTTTAGCTCGTTTGAAGGGGAAAACGTGTGTGTTCGACGAGCGCGCGTGGAGGAGGGTGAGAACTCCGGCTGAGTGAAAAATAAAGACTATTTACCGGCGGAAAAGTTGACGTGTCGTACGCGCCGGTGACATTTATTATGTACTCGACTGTACGTGGATACCTTCTATTACTAACCGTAGGATGTCGGGATGACGTTGACTGTCAGATGTTCCGCAAAAAGCCAGTGTAACGCCGAGGCCATCACTCCGCGGCCAGCCAACCGTGTGTTTTGCCGTCGTATTTGCCGCACGTCGTACACGAGAGTCGCCAGTTCGCAGACGGCGTGGACGAATTGCCAGAAGTAAACGATCTCGAACGGATCGTGTGCCGAGTCGAAAGCACAATCCTCGTTGACGACTGTTATGCAGCGGTAAAATGGATATTAATTAAGATACGCGTTGACCATAGCGGCGACGCAGTCGTTATTCTACGAGTGGAAGGAGAAGGGTAGGGAAATGAATTTCGAACAAACGGAAGTACGATTTACTATGCATACGGATAACAGTTCAATTATTATTATACGTATAAAGAAAATATATTTGTTACCAGCTCCAATCAAATTTAAATAGTATGATGAAATGAATTCGATTTATAACTCAACACAAAAATATTAAATGAAAAAAAATTAACAATAAGAGTATTATATGGATAGTTATTCGCATCATATCAACAGTTTATATTTCACAAAGGTAAGAGAGAATATTTAAAAGAGACGAAAGTAGTTCAGTGTTTAGTGAAAAAATCTTTATCCAGACCCTTAGTTGTGTCCATGTGTAAGTATATATATTGTACCTATTTCGAGCACTTTTTCTGTTTAGTAGTGTTTCCCAATCCGGGAATGGGGAAGGCGTGAACACATTGCTAAGTGGATGTAAAATGTCACCACGGAGTATATAAATAGTTATTAACAATAAAAAATTAAATAATAGTCATCATGTGTATTGATTGTGTAGTTTATTTTCAGTGTATTAATAATCATTAAATATTTCAATTTAAGAGATTGACTTGACATTTTTAAAACTCTTCAATAGGGTTGTAGAATAAAATAGGTTAAGAACCACTGTTATGCATAGATTGACCGTTTGAATCTTTGGTCTTACAATTATTATTACTAATGTATTTAAATTACCGCACGTATAATTCTCGTAGTTCTAGCGGGTCGGTCGCTGCTGATCGAACGCGTCTGACGAAGTTTTATTACGGTTTTACGAATTACACGGGTGCGGTATAATTAAAACGACGTTATTAACTGCAGTGTGTAGTAGTATAGTATATTATATGTTTAATGTTCGAAAACGTTTAAAATCGTTAAAACGTGTGTATCGCACAAAGAACACATTCCAGCATTAATTACGACGCCGTCAAACCATGTACAAAACGATTATTTTTTAACAAGCAACACTAGTTCCTTTAATTCATGTAAGCATTTATAATTAGAAGTCATTATTAAGTACTGAGTATCTAAATGAGCGTTCATACATTACGAACGCACGAACATCTATTCCGATATTACTACTCAATATTTAAAAAAAAAAGGTTTTATTTGATCTATATAACGGAATATTTTAATAGATTTCTCTTTTTTTCTTTCTTTTTTCTTTTTTTTTTTTAAATAGGTATAACATTTTTATAATTTTCATTTAAAAATTGTACAATTGAAGTTTTTACAATGTCTATGGATTAGTTGGATTAGTGCGCCATAATTCTGCCACCCAATCACTCCAAATGCTCGTCAAAACTTAATAAATTAAAAAATAACGATTAACTATTGATTGAATATGCTATGCTTTAATTCGCAGAAGGAAATAAATGGTATTCATATAAATATTCTGATTTAGATTCTGAACTTAATTTATCATGGGGTTTCGTTTAAATTGAATATTGTATATAATTAATTATTACGCGAAAAACTAGCAAAATCATTGCAATTGTTGTGTGAAAATATCGGGTTTCTTTTAAATTGAATATTGTATATTACTAATTACTACGCAAAAAACTAGCAAAATCATTGCAATTTTTGTGTGAAAACATTGTGTACACAACGATTTATCGTAATGACGTATATATATATTATATTATATTTTTTTCAAAATTGACCGGTAAGATGATGCGCATAATCGTGAAATCACACTGAATATAACAAGTACTGTTTTACCATCCCATTCTTTGTACATAAATACGTATGTATATATATATATATATATATATATAAACGAGTTGCGTGTGCTCTGAGATAATTTTTTTCTTTGGACCTATTCAATGCTCGCCATTCAAGCTGTGTATACGAGCACCGTTTGGTCGCACGAGAGATATCACCTTGTCAGTGTTAAAAACTAATTCTACGGTCGCGCGCTGTTTGTTTACGACGCAGTCTTTGTTTCGTTTTAAGCGTTCATTGCCCGTGTAGACGATGGTGACGTAAAAATAATGATGACGTTAAGAACAACGTTTTACGAATTTCGTTTTTGTATTGTATACGTGTCGCGCGTTTTTTAACGCTTTTGTAAAACCTAATCGTACGCAAAACGTGATAAAAACTCGCCACGTGATTACCATAGTGATACGGCGTGGGCGGGTTTGCAGGTTCGTGGGATGTGAGGCACAATCTTTACGTAGGTCCTTGAATTATAATACTTTTTTAAACATTTTTTTTTTCGTATTAACTATACGGTATTTTTCCCTCAAAATTATTCAAACATAATTATTTACTAAATGATAAAGCATAAATTATAGTTTAGTACGAATCATTCATAGTGAACAAAAATAATAAGAATCAATGTTTTTTTTTCTTCAGAAGATAAATATCATGAATTTAATATATAAATTATAAATATTAGTTTTTCAAAACATATATTCATAGTTGATCGTAACCCATTAAAATATTGTATGCTTTGTTATATTGCCCTGGAGAATTATGAATACTTACACGGGCCTGAGGTTGTACTCAACAATAATTGATAATTTTGAATTTTAAAACGTATTTCCGGGAGATTACAACCAACATACCAGTTTGTGCCACTGGGTAACATGTAGAAAATGTTTAACCTTTAAATGCTAAACGTGTATTACAAGTATATCCGTAGTCTGCGCCGCCGGAAAGTAATTTCCAAACACTACGGTGAAGTAATAATTATATGCGTATATGCGCGGATAAGGGTAGGCTGGTGAATTATGCAACATTGGAGGATTTTAATCCCACTCGGAAGAACGTGTGTCCGAATTACGATTACTTTATAATTTTTAGTAAACACTTGTAAACAATCATTGTTTGGTTTTTTTTTTTATACTTAAAAATATCGAATTAATTTTTCCTCCAGCCACGAAAATCTAAACTTTTACATTTACATGACATTTATTATAATATATAGTCTTCGATAGCACAATTTGTATACGATAAGCGACGACATACCGATAGACTGACGTCAAGGCCATTCTAGAAATTTTTTTCGGGAGGGGTCCAAAACATGTATTCTGTAATTTTATTGAATTTAGATTTTAACTTTTGATACTAGGTTAAAAATAAGACAAAAAAAAAAATTGAATCTTCTTTTATTAAAATTAATACCATATTTTTATATGATATTATGTTATACAATTAAAAGCAGTCAATGGTTCATTGGAGCTTAAGTAATTTTTGACTGAAAATATTTATATTGATATTAAAAAAAATAATTATTATAATATCGAAGAAATATCGGGGGGGGGGGGGTTCGGACACCCTGGACTTTCCCAGATACGGCCTTGATCGACGTTATAATCGCAGATGATACGTCATTAGATGCAGCAATTGAAATCGCAATTGTTGCGATTATTTTTCGTCATTTATGCCAAGTGTCTTGGTACTAGGTGTATTATTCCCGTATGATTATAATTACTAATTTTAAAACACATCTAATATAATATCGCGGAATCGGAATCGATAAAGGCATTTTTTTATTTTTTTTTGGCTTTTATCGGAGGGGGGGTTGAAGGGGAGCGTCTTCTCCGTACAAGCCACATATATTCGATTGTGTGGGGCGTAAGGCCAACCTGACCATAACTCGGCGACGGTCGCGTACTCACACAACAGGTCGTCGAAGTCGGCCAACGAAATCCGCGCGTGTAGATAGCTGTCGATGAGCATTTGCCACAGCCCGAGACGGGTCAGCAGCGGTCGGTAGACGACTGTGCTTTCGGCCAAGAACGCGCCGTAAGCTCGGTACAGCGCCTGCAGCTGGTCCGCGTGAGCTTCGATCGCGCGTTCTGCGTCCCGGAGTTCCAGTTCCGGGTCGACGACGACCCCGATGCAGGACGTGTCTACGGTGCCGTCCGAGCACTGGGCTACCAACCGTCGGACGTGACCGGTCAGGTCGCACGCGGTCTCCTTGTCGGCCGTCAACGGAACGTTCACCCGCACCAGACGAGGACTGGGTATCGCGGCGCCCTTGGCCTGTTGGACGTCGTCGTTACCAGCTGACCCCGAAAATACTGGTGTGCACAACGATTGCGATGCCGTCTTTACGGGCTCGACGGATAGCCGTACACCGCGGTTCGCCGTCCGCGACGGGATTCTGTGGCCACGGTCGATCGTCGTTCGACGCGATGCTGGCAGCGGTGGCGACGTTTCGTAAAGGACGCCGCGGCGGAATTCGAGACCGGAACAACTGGGCCGCCGACCGGTGCGCAAGATGATCTCGCACGGACCGTTCAACACGTCGTCCGACCAGTTTCCACGCATTTTTGTCCCGGTTTCTGCCGAGTAGAACTCGCCCGAACCTGCAGCGTGCCGGTAAGCTTACATATAACCAGTGTTGAAACTTATCTAGATAAATTTTCTAGATAATTATTTAATTATCTTTTATTTTATCTAGATAAATAATTTCATTTTATCAAAAATATTATCTTTGATAAAAAATTCATCCATCTAGATAAATTCGTTTCTATACAAAATAAGGAATTACATATTTTTATTAAAAATTAATTTTTTTGATAGTTAATACTTTGAATTTGTATTGTTGTCATCTTACTACAAATTGTATGTTCATAATAATATTATATACCTATTAGGTATTATTTATTATTAATCTTTTCGAGGCCCGGAATTAGGTGCTCAAATATAGGGTATCTCTACATTCATTGTTGTTGTGTTGGTGACTTGTCGACCGTCATCATGACCTACCCTAGCAAATATTTAATGACACCCCTGCTTTAGAGTAGATAATATATCTAGATAAAAAAGTATTTATCTTTTATCTTAATCTAGATAATTTTTTATCGTACTATCTTTATCTTTATCTAGAAAAAAAAGAACTTATCTAATCCCAAAACTGCATAACACATTGTACGTATACGAGATGGCGATCGTAGTATTTTCTCCCCGTTTTACGAACCGTTTTTTATTATGTTTCACTCTTTTTTTTTCACGTGTAGATTTAACGAATATCGTTAAAAATGGTCAAATATTTTTTTTTCTAATAATTTTAATTTTAAATTACAGATATTTACATTATCTGTTATACTTATTGCTTTTGATTTTCCTTCGAAATATTACCTAAATTATGCACTCGTGTACATTGTACATTATAAGAGAAGATTATACATATAAACAAAATAAAATATTATTTACGGTATATGTTGAATTTTTCCTAAAATTATCGTATAAATAGTTAAAAAATATGTTACACAGATTTTTTATTGTGGTAAAATCGGTAATGCGCGAGTTACATTTTTTTTGTGTCAGAGTAAACGTGGTCATGTAGGTAATAAAATAGTGTAATAAACGTGCAAATTTATTGAATTTGTGAAAAATTTACTGATTCAATGTAAATCATCGGACTTAAAGCTACGTGCAATATTCCGCAGTAGTTTGTAAATAATTTGTTACGGTCGGTTTAGGTACCTCTGGTGGCGAATTTCATCTATATTTAAGATGAATAAATGAGTGGATATTATACTATCATTGATATTGGATTCTTAAAAAACATTTTAAGATATTTTATGGAGTATGAATATTATTCATATTATAATTCATAACAATAATAATATGACAATATGGAACGTTTTGTAATGTTCCGTTCAACTTTAAAACATAAATAACTTTGCTACTACGATTTTTCGATAGTCGATTGTATAATACTTTTTTATAATAAAATATATAATATTATAATAATTTATAATCAATGTATTTTTTTTCTTTTCGCGCGCGCCATCTAAATCTAGCGGGGACGTCGAAATGATGACATTTTTATATGAATTAGTAGCAGCAGTAGGACGAATCATGTCATGAAATAGACGAGGTTTCAACCAATTCCTCTTATAATTAGTATATGTGTATTTATATGCACTAAGTCATCGAAGACAATGTACTTTCATTGTAATATGTAGGCGTTTCGTGTGTATTTAGTTTGACTTTACCGTTCTCTGCAAAAGTTTTTGTACTGCAGTAGGCACTAAAATATACTATGATACGGTTTTGTGTTAATTATTAATGTACTTGAAATAGCCCATATTAAGAATTCGGCTGTAATCATGGTTGATAGAGATTTTGAATTATGGACGGAAAGTGTTGTGGCAATTTATATTCAGTTGTAGGTACTTATTGTTAATTTTTAGTTTCATAAAAATCTATGATTTATTTGATTGTTTTAATTTTAATTTTAAATAATACTAAGAAAAGTTAAATATTATTGCAGGTACTGTACACAAATGAATTAATCTCAGGTTATAATAATTTTTAAAAGTCCAGTGTATCTTCGTATTTTTTTCAATTTATTCGAGTACTGGATTGGTATTAACTAAATAAAATTAATATTCTTACCGTGTTTCTTCGACTTTAACCATTGACCGGTATATTTGTCACATGAGCGTATGACCAGTCGATTGTGGTCACGAGGATTACTAGTCCACTTGTATGTGCCAACACCGTCCATGAATCCGTCAACCCAATCGCCCTCGTACACCTGCCAGTGACAGCGAAACGCAACTATATGTATACTGTAGGTACCTACTTGTAGTGCATATTTCGTTATCCATAAAGATTTAAAATTCTCGAACAGAGTAGGGATTGTAAGCGACTCAGCTCTGGAACGCGACCGGAGTAATAATATGTAATCGCGAAAAGTGCTCTTTATGAACAATTGTGTTGCAAGTTCTAATTGCTCATTTATCCAGGTAATTGGAGGAACATTTTATAATCAGTTATTTCTATTCGATTATAATAGATGATGAAAAAAATTTGATTATATGATTATAAATGATAATTACTATCGATGCAACATCATCATAAAACTTAATGGCCTATAAAATGATGTTATATATACTACAGAATAAATATTATATTATTAATTATAATAATGTGTTTAGGATTTCATGTGCATTTGACACTATGTACATATATATGTGTGTGTGTGGTGTATAAAATATAAATAGTATGCATTACAAAATACTCTTCTATAAGCATATAATTTTACACTAGATTTTTTTCAGAATTTTTTTTTTTGTATTTAATGATGTATCAATAATTTAAAATCGAAATAAAAAAATCTAACTAATATAACAAAGTTAAGAATTAGCACCTTGTGCCTTGTTGGATTTTTTCAACTATGACAAATGACAAATGTTCTCTGCGTTTTATTTCATAAGATTTTTATATTCGCGCAACTTTCGGCCGCTGCTTTTAATAACACTTTAATATATAATATAATATAATGATAATAGAACCATATTTATGATTTTTTGTTTCTCCTCCAACCGTCGTATTTACAATTTTTCATGAAGTTATTGCAGTAACAATAATAATATTAATAATGAAAATTATTTTTTATTACTTAACTTCATTATAACTATTCTCCACGCATCGTAGTTGAAATTCCATCGAGAATTTAATTCCAAACCAAACACGCGATCAACGACAAACGGGATTCACCGGCGGCGTTTTATCGCGCGTCCAATGCGATTACGTCAACGAATTTCCTTTAAAAATTATTTCTGAAATCCTCTCACGTAGCACGACCGTTTTCACGCGAGCCGACAAAAGGACATATATTATTATATCGGACTCTCACGCGCGTACCTGCAATGCTGCCATCACATTGATGTGTAAATTACTCACGCATCTATTTTTTATTATATTTACGATATTTTTTTATTCCTACTGGTATCCTTTTTTTTTCACACCCTAATCACGATGACTACGACATAGGCTGTGACTTTTCGAAAAAAAGTTTACGTGGCAAACGTGTATAACCAGAACGCACGCGTATAGTGTGTGTTGCAGGGACGTGTCTAGGATTGACCCTTTACCTTCTTTCTTTTATGTTACGAAGGTGGGAGGAGGCTAAGGTTAGTTATTAACTAAGTTTAGTCGTTATACAGCGAACAGAGTAGGTTGTGTTACGATTAATTTCTGTTACTATTACGATAAAAAAAATTCACACGAATCGGCAACATTCCAAGAAAACGTATAGTGATATTAAAATGAAATATATAATAAAATTTTTATTTTATTATAACTTTTTATCGGCGAATGATATTCGAATCGATCAATTTTTATGAAGGATAATTTTGTTTGGGAGAAAAGTTGCTATAGCGTCGCAGAAACTACTTTTTGGTGTATGACTAACTTTATCATCAGTGGTGCAATTAGGTGTGGGGTTTGGGGGTTCTAAACCCCCCCCCCCATGAATTTTTTCTGAGGTTTTTACAAATTCTACGTAGGAAAAAAATTTGTAACGTTCCGTTCAACTTGAAAACATTAATAACCTTGCTACTATGATTTCTCGATAGTCGATTGTATAACACTTTTATTTATGATATCACAATATGAAACAGAAGTTAAACAGTTTAATTTGTGATTTAAATATTTTATCCATAAAGCTTACTTAATCTTACTTCCTTATCCCCACCAAACACCCGCAGAAAATGCTTATTTTTTCTAAATTCATAACCTCCTCTGAAAATCAATCCAGGTGCACCACTTATTTTTATAATCATACATTTCATGTCTTTCAAAGCTTACACGAATAAATAGGAATATAATAGTTTCTTGTTTGAAATTAACATTTAGCACCAGAAAATCTCTAGTGATTTCCACAACGTATGCGTGTACCATTCTTCGCAAACATGATTCTTTAACACGGTCGTTGTCGTACGCTTAGAAAATGGTCACGTGTAATATATGATTGTACTCACGTCGTCTTCCGGCCACACTGCCTTGCCGCGTCCATGCGGCCGACCACGTACCCAGCCACCGGTGTACCGCGTGCCATCCGACCAGTTACCGGTGCCGTGGCCGTGCGGCTGGCCGTCCACCCAGTGGCCATCGTAATTCAACGCACCGTCTGACTCACCCGTCCCGCAATCCGACTGCCCGAGTCCGTTCCTCTTGCCGAACGTCCACTGTCCGCCGTACCAGCGGCGTCCGTCTTCGCCGGACACGTGCATTCCCCGGCCGTGTCGAAGACCTTTTTGGAATTCGCCTTCGTACCAACTGCTGTCCGGCCATCTAATCATGCCGTTTCCCTCGGGATAACCGTCTTTGAACCGTCCCTGTGTAAAATACGTGTACATCATTGATTATTCCATAAACGGACTTAGTACACGTTGTGCTGTAATCGAAAATCGGGTTCGGCTGGTGGAACTTGAATAATAAATATGGTATCGCTAAAGACCTAGATGTTGCATAGAAAGTCCTGTAGAATCGCCGTTCTTCGGAACGGGTTTTGCCCATTGTTCTCAGATGATGGGCTGACGTTTTAAGTTAATATTTTTAACGGTACAAACGAATCACGGAGATCGACCACTCGTTCGTCGGAACGAAATGAAATATAATGTAAAATATAATACGCCTACGTGTTGCCGTATTAGCGGAAATAATATCGATCATCCATTCTGGAGTGAGCGAGGTTAGGTTAGGTTCAATTGAGGACGGGACCCGCGCTAACGGGGTAGTTATACGACGTCGTTATTGCTGTACAGTTTTCCGCTGGCCGTCTTGATTACTACTCGGAAACGTGTAAGAAATGTGCTGATGGGTTTATCGGAACTTTCGTCCATGCGCAACGGATTCCGCGAAAAGTTCCTTAAAGGCCCGGAGCCCTTTGCAATAACATGGTCGTACACCGTTCATTCTCGGAGTTAACTTGTACGAACAACATACGATCCTGGTCCAAGTTTTTTTTCCTTCAACGCGGTTTACAGACCACATGACGAGTAATAATATAATGTTTTTAATGATTTTCTATGAAACTATGTTTCTCGCAAAAGGACCGAATGATATGGATGTTTGTTGGACTGCCTCTCGATTTGTGATTGGAATTGTCTGCAGGTTGTGTAACGATCATACGTGTTCAAAATAAAGTGTTATTGTATTACATATACTTTTACATACACTTGTATGTTCGATAGAAGTAAATGTTTATGGATTTTTTTCTAATATTTGTGTAGGTTATCGCCGTTTTTTTCTGACAGTCTATTGTGAACGAGGTTTTACAATTAAACGATTGAGAAAAATAATAACAGATCACATTACCCGCAGACGGTATCTACGAAAGAACAGTGTGATGAACAAAAAATTTACGATCCGCATTACTATAATTTCAAACTTTCCAGATTAGTTAGGTTTGTACTGTATCATTTGTACGGTAGGCAGTTTCATTCGACCCCCATATAATTTGTAAAGGGTTCGAGTATATTTTATTTTAAAAGAAGTTTTTATAGGTCAGTTGCATTATATTGTGTACGAACAAAATATGATCATCATGCATATAAATATACATATAAATAGTATAAAAAAAATATATTTATATACTTATTTCTCAAAAAGTCAAAGTTCAACACGAACTAAAAAAAATATTGCAGCAATTATAATTCGCATAATGAAAAGAACCGTAAGTTTTTACTTACAATCACATTTTACCTTTAAGCGTGGTGGAAATTGTAAGTCGATGCTGAATTTATCTATTTTAAATAATTTTAATTACCGTTATGTTATAGTAAAATAATGATTATTATTAATATATTTTAATAACTGTTTAATAACTTTTATTAATCAAACCGATTACAATGAAAGTGTTTTACTGCATAATTATAAATTGATCAATCATGTAGATAAAACTAACTTGAATGTCAGTCAATTGCCATCGATATATCAGGTGTGTGAATAAGTCTTTCCCGTTTTTTTTCAAATTTTGAGCCTTTATTGTGAAAAAATGGTTACAAATGAATTATTGAAAGTATTGGCCATCGCTAGCTACAACTTTTCCCCATCTTTCTGGCAACATACGAATCCCGTTGCGAAAAAATTCGACCGGTTTGACCTCTATCCAGTCATCCACCCATTTTTTGGCTTCCTCGTAGGAATGGAAGTGCTGGTCAGCCAGGCCATGCGTCATCGATCTGAAGAGATGGTAATCAGACGGAGCAATGTCTGGACTATACGGCGGGTGGGGTAGGACTTCCCATTTGAGCGTTTCTAAGTATGTTTTCACCGGCTGTGCAACATGTGGGCGAGCATTGTCATGTTGCAAAATAACTTTGTCGTGCCTGTCGGAGTATTGTGGCCGTTTTTCTCGCAGTGCGCGGCTCAAACGCATCAATTGTCGTCGATAGACCTCGCCTGTGATCCTTTCATTCGGTTTCAGAAGCTCATAGTAAACCACACCTAGCTGGTCCCACCATATACAGAGCATGAGCTTGGCGCCATGAATATTTGGCTTGGCCGTCGATGATGATGCATGGCCGGGTAGTCCCCATGATTTTCTTCGCTTCGGATTATCGTAACGGATCCACTTTTCATCGCCAGTCACGATACGATGCAGAAAACCCTTTCTTTTATGTCGCTGAAGCAGCTGTTCGCAAGTGAAAAAACGCCGTTCGACGTCTCTCAGCTTCAGTTCGTACGGCACCCAATTTCCTTGCTTTTGGATCATTCCCATGGCTTTTAAACGCTTGGAAATGGTTGTTCGGTCAACTCCCAATGCTTCAGCAAGTTCTTCTTGCGTTTGACACGAATCTTCATCAAGCAAAGTCGCCAATTCTTGATCTTCAAAGATTTGTGGCCGCCCGGAACGCTCCTTGTCTTCCACGTCGAAATCGCCACTTTTGAAGCGTCGAAACCATCCGCGAACACTTGAATCATCGACATAACCTTCTCCATAAGCTTCCTGAAGCAACCGATGCGCCTCGGCAGCAGATTTCTTCAAATTGAACCAATAAAGTGAAACTTCCCGCAAATGACGTCGACTCGGCTCAAATTTCGACATTTTCACGATTACAAAAATTTATGATGCGAAAAAATTTCAACTAATGTGTTAGTGTGGAATTGATGACAGATGAATAAGCTTTAATTATGACATATGTAACCATTAAATACTCGCACAGTATTGGTGGCGCCGTCTCTTACAAAAAACGGGAAAGACTTATTCACACACCTGATAATATAAACTGTTCGTATTGTTTGTACATCTCGAATAGTTCAGAGATGTTTTCTCGGATAAAAGAAAAAAGTTCTTGCAAAGTTTTGTTGTCGCAAGGACCAAGTAGTAGTCTCGTTGTCTCATTACCGAATCGTTCGAGATTTTTATTACGCGTAATGTTTTTGAGGGTGAAAAAATAAATACCTTTTATTAATTTTACACGTTGCTTTTCTGCGCCATAAAACGCGAGCAATTAAAAATGCGTTTGCCGGAAAGTTTCAATGCTTGGTGAACAATAATAATCAACGTAAAGTATTACTTTATAAGTGACTCCATCGCAGAGAAATAAACGGCCTTCACCATTCGGAACCCAATTAGACATCTGACCTTCGTACACGATGCCCGACTTGTAAGTCACTCGAACCGCCATCTTTTGTTGGTCGTGCATTTTCGTTTTGTCCTTTTTCGGTGACATAGTCTCGTCCGGCCGAGGAAATAGCGGTTCCAGGCTTTTTTAAAAAATTTATTTCACGTTTTGTTTTAATTTTTTTTTTTTAACTTCAAATATTTTAAATCTTTTGTTAATTAAATTGATAGTGGGTTTCTCGAACGGTTGTAGGCGCTATTATGGGAGAACTAGTATGAGCAAACACCGTTCAATCGGTGGTGAAACAACCCACTATTTATAAATATTCAGTTCGAGCTTTGTGTAGAAAAAATATTTATACGCATAATAGGTTTATGGTTATATGCAACGTGTGATCCTACCATAGTTTTCGTTTATTTTTTTTTTGTAAGCCATATTTTTTTTCTTTTTATTATTAAACTTTGGTAAAGACTGTAGTTTTTAGGATTTAAACTATGTAGTAGAACTTATGATCACGCAACGATAGTGATCGAGTCCATTATCAATTTATACCTATTACATACACATTATTTTTAGCTCGCAATACAGGGGACATGTCGAGGAGAGGATGAGGGAGCAAAGTATTGGACATTATTACCGATTGATCACGTATCCGAACATAGACTTGTAGAATTTTTCGATCAACTCGCTTTCAGTTAAGCCATTTCTCGGAGTTTCTTCCTCGGAGAGAGGTGATTCGTCATGGCGTCCCAAGAATTTGAACGATTTAACCATATCATCCCCTACTGCAAACAATATTTGAATAACGTATGAAAATAATATTTGGAGTATTTCATGTGCATGAGTTAAATATTATTATAATATTATTCTCAGCAGATATTTCCTTTTTTATAACATAAATCACCGATACTATTTCTCTCCTCTAATATATAATATATATATTATTCATAGTTAAAGAAACAATTTTTTTTGTAGATATATATTAATATGAAATATGTCATGTATATTATTTATAGAGGTTCCGAAAAATATGGTGTTTTAAACTATTTAATAAATTTTTATATTTTTAGGAAATATATATATATATATGTATGTATAAACGACTGTTTAAATTTAATTATAATAATTTTTAATTTGTATTTTACATATAATTTTTTTTTAGAGTTATATCGGTTGATAGTCAAGTCAAAAAATATTTTTTTAATATTATTTTTATTTATTAATTTTTAATTTTTTCTGGAAATAATTTATTTAATTTAAGGTTTATTTTTTTTTAAATCATACATACTAATTAATTTAAATTTCATTGTGAAATTAGGTTATTTTTAGAAGTTTATGATTTGGCTATTATACCCTGGGTTTGGGCCTAATGTTGCGTCCGAGTAGCGAAGTATGATAAAGTTGTCGAGATTATCGGTATATTGGCGGTATTATGTTGAAATATATTCGACTGAAGATAGTTTTTACAATCCGTGCTTTTCGCGTGCACAATAAGTAATTAGGACATGAATATAAATAACAATTAAGGCAGTGATAAACTACCGATGAGACAAGCTACCATCCAGTAATAAAATTCACTGTAGAAATATTGTGAAACTATAATAATAATTAATGGATAATTTTTTAACGGGTCACGGCACTATAGTCGATTTACACGGTCACATCGGACCGGTATGTTAGGAAAGTTTCGAGAAGAGAAGCAGGATGCTAAAGTGCTTAGTTGTGCTTGGAGTTTACTGAGAATAGTTTTGTAATAATTTTTTTTGCTATTATTAGATATGTTCTATTTTCAGTTTGTTTTGAAGAGGTTATTTAAAAACAAACCATCACATGGCAAATATTATGAAACAAAAGGAAATTTATTATAATATTGGAGTTGAGTATGCATTTAGAAAAATATAGTACCTTCTATGATTCTTAGCAATGAATTGCAAGTAATTATCCCAGCTTTAAATGATAATTCAGATTTTAATATAGGATATGATAAATGTAAGCAATTATTGAAAATAAAAAAATTCAGCACTTAAATTCAGTAATTTCTTCCAGTATTATTTTATCTTAATCTATTAACCTTCTTATTCCCCTTCATAACTCTCTCCCTCATCGGGTCTCATCTCTTACGCTTTTGATTACTTATTATGAATTTACTGTTGCCAATTCCAATTCTAAAAAAATTCCCAGCTCTAATATCGAATTATTACTATTCAAATTATTTTCAAATCTTAATTTCATAATTAATCTTTTCATTTTTCTCATCACTATTACTTTACAAAATAACGAATTCCATCATATTCTTATTCTTTCACAATAAGAATTTTCCTCAGTAATAAATTAGGTATATGTATGTATATTATTGTTAATGTACTAGTATTATTAGTACTAACCAATGACTGATTTCTCACCTAATGTTTTTGTTCATTGTTATATTTTCATGTTGTTAGTGTTATATTCATGTTTGATAGTTTAATAATAAAAAAATTAAATTACAATTAAAAATTGTTTAATAAGCTAATATTCGTTAAGTAATATAATAAATAAACAGTTTTTACAAATAAATAAAAAAAAGCTTAGCCTAGAGAATTATTATATTCGTAAAGTACGACCCAGTTTCGAATTAAAAATTCATCATAAGGTATATAATAAGGTGAAATCAATAAAATCACAACCATATATGAAAAAATAAATTTTATTGAAATTGTACTTAAGTAAATTCGTGATAATAAATTTTTTATTCGTAACCGGTCGTACTTTACAAATATAATAATACTCTAGGCTAAGCTTTTATTTATTTATTTCCATTTTCAAACTATTGATTTATTGGGTTATATTTGAGGCATTAACTCTTCTCAATTATTTTTGCTAATTATTTTCAGTAAAGGCGTTTCATTTTTTTATCCGATTTTTTTTATCGTTTTTATCTATTATTATATGTTTATTTTTAATTACTTACCTTTCGCTATTGCTATGCTACATATTAACTGTGTACATTTAATATTTTAGTTGTTGAACCACAAGAGTTTTTACTATAAGTTATATAAAACAAAAATTTATCAACCTATTATTCTAAACTTCAAATGTGTTCAAATATATGAAGTTTATGTACAATTGTATATAATACATTAATTACTGTGTCGTTTGGTAACCTATGTTTTAGGAAACTCGCTTTGAAATAAATTTGTTGCGTGTAATCGTATATATTTTACACTGAGAGTATAAATTTCTGTTTTCGGATTTTCCATACATAACATACTATTATGTTTGAACTGAAAATAATTTAATGCAATATAATAGAGCCTGAGTATAAAGCGATATATTCAACACTAAGCGTGTGTACGTTACATTATTATATTATTCAGATAGTTTTGCAAAACTATTTTGACGTTTGAGAGTTATATGAACATCTGACAAACATTTAGTGTAGAATTTATTATATCAATACAATATGATATTTCTATCACGAAGAAACTATTGTATCTGAGACATTAAAAATTGCATTATGCGATCAAGAGTTTTTTGTCACAGTGTCCATTATACCGATCGGTAAATACCAAATGTCGTTATAATATTTGGATACACGTATTTTCGTTTGGTTTTTGATAATCCCGAATAATATATGTAAAATATGTTCAGTATACCAATGTACAGTGACCATTTTTAAATAATTGATGGAAATTTGTTTTCAATAAGACAACGAACGAACGCGTTGCATGTGTATTATTTTAATTTATGTGATGTCAATCTTAACGAATCCGAAAGTACAAAATGAGTTCGAAAATAAATATCTATAAAATATATAGTGAAAAAATTGCGTTTCGATTGGAAATGATTTATGTATAGTATTGTTAGATGTTGGAATCGTTGTACGGATAATGGAAAATTTTACACAGCAAACCATGCACCAAGACAAGTAAAACAAATAAGAAAAAGATACGGTTCTCTAAGTTGACCTCTTTGTATAACATATGCAAATGCATTGAGATTAATGAAAATTGTAGCAGATAGACGGTGTTTATTTTTCAAAGAGAAAAAGAGCTGTGTATGCTAGATGTTGATGAAAAGTTACAAAGGATTGAAAAAAAAAAAAACTGAACAACGAATGAAGGCAGTTGTAAAAAGAAAGAAAATAATTGTGTGAAGAAATAGTCTTACTTATTATGCTATTCAAAATAAAAATAAAAAATTCAACATCGTTAATATTATATTACCGTTAATTCGTCGTTATATTATAAAACTTTCGATACTGATGAAAACGTGCGTATAAAATCGATTGACAAAGTCATAATTGAACTTTCAAACTTTAATGCGGACCTCGTAAATATTACAATTTAACTTCTAAATTTACAATCGCATGGGACGGAGTGTATTTAGGACACTGTTTACATGCTCGCAGGTAAACTACGGGCGAGTTTCGTACGATTATTGTTTAGGAATTATAAATATAATTATGTTTTTAAATATTCGACGAGTAAAAATAAAATCACATAGGTCTTCACAAACGTTTACGAATATATTGGTCATTATACGGAAACATGCAAATATAATTTGATTATGTGTACTACGGCAATTGAAGTATTCAAATATTCAGTTAAATACTTTACAAATGACATTTTCTGGAAACTCTGAAGTCGACTGTTCGCGAGTCAACGAAATAGCTTATCGATGGTATTGCGTCCGTTAATTCCGTTTAGGTATGCATTGATTACGTTCTCAATGCATTTACGGAATACCACATCTGACAGCGTTTTACACATAACAATGTCATACTATACAGCACTGCCCTGCGATTGTAATTAATTGGTTATTAAGCTCGGTTAGTTCGAGGTTTACAAGTGTTTCATTCGGTGGTTTAGTAATTATTAACTGGACCCGTGCCGGTCCGCATGCACGTATTAATAATATAATATATTTGTCCAAAATATTTCCGTCGTTATTGGTTTTAAATACGTGCGACGTACGTACCGTAATATAGTTATCACGTTTTTCCCCGTTGTTGCTACGTTTCACAACTCGCACTTGCGCTTGTAATTTTTGTTTGAAAATCATTTGCGATTTTTCTCCTTTTCCCGGTCCGTCCGGTTATTAATTGAACAAATTGCCGCCGCTGAATCGAAATGCACTTAAAGCGATTGTTGTTCACGAGCGCAGCAATAGTAGCGTTTAATTTTATCAAAAGCTATCGCATTGCGTCCTCGGATACGATTCCGCGTCACCACCCGGTCGGGAGTCAAACCAATAATAACAATTTTATTCTAGATTGGTACACACTCTGGGGACAGTGCACCTAACCACGGTGGTGGAGTACGTACGCTGCGCTTGTAAGTTTGATTGTTGGGCTGCGCACGACGCACCCGCTTGTGGAAATAGATTTCCAAAAATAATTTTACCCTAGCTGAATCGATTACATTGTTCCTCGCGCGTGTACGATGTGCACATAAAAATACGTAGTACCTACGGGGAGCGCAGGTCAGAAATTAACCGTTCAACAATCTCCTTATCCTCATTTTGCTCACGTATCGCCGTCACTCAGCGTCGTATTACTACTACTACTGCTGCTGCTACTGTTCATCTAAGAATGATTTGCGTCCGAAATTCGATTTTTTGCTCATCATTGCTTTGTGATAATTTGGTACAATCGTTTAAACAATTTCCAAAAACATAAAAATAATTTAATGGTCAAGTTTTTTAATATATATTCGATAAAAAATAACAGCTTAATAA